TTTTTAAACCTTGCAATTGCATGGTTGTAAGCCAGCTAGAGTTGTATTTTCACTTCTTGGTTATATAAGAGTTGTAATCGTTGTTGTAAGAAAACAAATAGTCAAATACGAGCTAGTCACTCACGGTAGAGAATTTTATTTCGTGGTTTCCAAGAAGACCATGTCATCTAAAGAGATTTAGGTTGATGAATGAAACAAGGTCTTCAATTTACAATTTTATTTAATGATTTTATATATTATTTGCCATAGCATTTAATTATTACACTGTTTGTGAAAACAATCACAGTATAGTGCAATTTCCATTTCCAATGCATAAGATGAAACAATTTGGTGACGGGGTTGTTTGTTCAGAACACAATTTCACGTGTATTTCATTAAGGAGATCACACGTTTCATTCCTTGGATTCCATGGTATAGGTAAGGGTGTAGATGACCCGCAAAAAAATAATAAAAGAAAAAATGTGTATATAAATATCAGACTCTATCTTTCGTTCAAAAAATATATCAGACCCCATCTGAATTAAGGCCTTGTTTAGATTACAAATTTTTGCAACCTGGACACTGTAGCACATTTCGTTTGTATTTGACAAACTTTGTCTGATCATGGACTAACTATGCTCAAAAGATCCGTCTCGTGATTTACAACCAAACTGTGTAATTAGTTATTTTTTTTACCTACATTTAATGCTCCATGCATACGTTCAAAAATTGATGTAATTGAGAGATAGTGAAAAAACTTAAATTTGGAGATGATAAACTCGTTCCTTTTCTCTTCATAAATTTCTTGACATGTGGGCCTGCTCGGCCGTTATTTTTTAGGCTGTGCTGGCTGTACGCTGCGTTAGGCGGAGGGAGTTGAAGTTGATTCGGTGGTTATGTTTGTTTGGCTGTGGCTTGTCGTAAATGATCTTAAAATTTTAGTTAGAATAGTATTTTTCTCTCACATAAATCAGTCAGCAGTATTTTTTTTCACGAACCAGCAACGAAACGAACCAGCCAACTGAACATGATGTAGATTGAAACTCTTATAATATCTGCATTGATGATAGCCTTGGAACAAAAGATTTACAAAACACATAAATAGGGAAATCGTATGAATGAAATGTGAAAAAACTTCAAATCCTATAGTATTTCAGAACAAAAGGAAAGTTTAGGAAGATGACCTTAGAAGCAATATTATAGGAAATAACATACTCCATCTGGCGACTTATAATTTAAAACGGTTGCAATAGAAACAAAATAATGGGGTCAAAGATTATGTCTAGATTATTTTTAAAATGGTCCAACCCGTTAGAATTTCAAAGAAATTATTGGAAAACATTCTTTTGTTCCATATAGGGCTAATAAAATTTTCTATAGAGAAAGGCGGTTTTTTCTTCAAAATTCTTGGTTCGCGCGCGTGGGGGGCATCTGAGGGGGCGTTTGTTACCTTGGCTCGACGGCCCGGCTGCGCCCTCCGCATGCAACTCCCCATGTTTGCGAGCTAGGGCCCACCAGCGAGCCGGGCTGTCGCCGTGCAATTTGCCTTCTCTCTCATGGCTCCCGAGAAACGAGGTGGAGGTTCGTTTCCTGGCGGCACGGCTCGCTCGAGCGCAGAAGCGGCTCGCTCGAGCGCTGGAGGCGCACAAGCACAGCAAACACGATCTCAATCGAGCTCGGCTCTGTTGAGCCACGATGACAAACACGAGCACTTGCACCATTTGGACCGGACTAAGGGTGGCCAGGCCATAGCCAGCCGGCCAGGCCGGCGAGGTACGCCCTCGCAAACGCACCCTGAGTGTTGCGATTCATACTCTAGTTGGAAACTTTACCAGACATGCATGTGTCATGCGATGCATCATCCAATGTATAATTCGCGAAACCCCTTTGACCCGGTTTAGTTCCATTTGCGACGATAAAAAATTAGTCCCTAAACTTTTGCTACTAAACTTTAGTCTTGCTCGAGATGTTTAGATTCATGGCAAAAGTTTAGGCTAAAAGTGCAAAATGAGGTGTTCTTCACACTCCTAATGTTTTTAGCCTAGTTTTGCACCTCTTGAGGTGCAAATGACAAAACTGTAGCCCCCTCTTTGCTCCACCTGGTTAGGTGGTGTTTAAATCTAGGGAGTAAAGTTTATAGATGTCACATCGGTGTCACATGGGAGTGTTTAGATAGTAATAATAAAACAAATTACAGAAGTTATCAGTAATCCGCGAGACGGATTTATTAAGCCTAATTAATCCATCATTAGCACGTGTTTACTGTAGCATCACGTTGTCAAATCGTGGACTAATTAGAATTAAAAAAAATTATCTCGCAAATTAGTCGCAATCTGTGTAATTAGTTAATTTTTAGTCTATATTTAATACTCCATGCATGCGTCTAAATATCTGATGTGATAGGAGTAAACTTTAGGACGAGGAACTAAATAAGGCCTTAGATCCATTTGTCCAAAACATAGGCTAAAAGTGCTGGGCAAAAATTTTGCCAAAGGAAATAAACAGGGCTAAGGCGAGAAATCTCCACCGTCATCTGGATCTAATTAACCTGACCTTTTTGGACTATCAGATGGCAAGACTGAACGGCTGACTTGGATTCACATCTTGGTGCGTTTAGCCTGCATATATATCTCTTCCATCCATATGCTGCTCACTAACAAGGACTGCAAACTGAAACTGTTAAACAGCGACTTGCTAACCGGAACAAATGCTTATGCTGTCGCTGGGTCAGGTTCTATTACGGAACGTACCTGATGCAAACGCGATGGACGCAGTACCGATTGATGATTGGCATTTAATCAATTGCTTCGCCGAGAGATCCGAGGCTTGCATCGTCTTAACCCTGCAACATTTAGTGGATCACATGGCTAAATAGGCCCTACATGCACCGCAAATCCGTGATGCGTGCAAAAGTTTGTTGATTTCACAGAACTGGTGCCACTGTTTCATCCCATCTCACGCGGAATATCATTACGGTGTCCGTGTGATTGAAACTGCCTGCAGTCATAATGGGGCATTGATGATAGTTTCTATCCCTCTTAATTACATTGACAACTTAGCATTTTGCTGACGTGGCAAAGAAGTTACCGAGGAAAGAGGGTACGGAAAGAAAAATGAGTTTAAATGCATAGTAGATCCTTGAACTTGTATGAATGTGTTACTTAGGTTCATGAACTCTCAAAATGCATTCTAGGCACCTTAAAGTTGTTTAAGTATGTCACTTAGATCCATAAGCCTATGTGGCATCGCCAGTGGGGCGCTAAATATTCACAAGAGCAGACGTGGTGGCACTCCTCGAAGTCACCTGGTCCCAGGACATGCGCACCGTGCTCAGGCTCTGCGGCCTAGGCAAGGGCGACAGGGAAGGCTTCTACGCCGCCGCGCTCTGGATGTGCGCGCGGGATGCGAAGACGAGCTCGCCCTCAGCCACTAGAGAGGCAGCCATGCATGCGACGCCACTGGAGCTCGGCAGCATCGTCGTGCGGCAGCACCGCGTCCACGAGCATCCTGGCGCAACCGGTGCGCACCTCGTTGAAGAAGCCGGCCACGCGATGCTTGTCGTGCTTCTAGAACACCTTGTACTTGTTCATTGCTAAGGACGCCACCCGCACGAACGGCAGTGCTTCAAACTTGCACGCACACATGTAAACCTTCGGGAGCTCGAGGGCCTTGCGCAACGGCACTAGCACCTTGCGGCGGAGCCGGTCACGGACGCGGTAAGCATAGTGTTTGTCCGAGATGTTGAGGTACTCCTAGTTGGACTCACGTGGAAAAATAGAAAAACGAATCGTAGTATTTGATTGATGAGGGTATATGTTAGCTTTTAGATGGACTTGTTTTCTAGGATTGCCAAAAGGCTCGTCGTGCGTTGTCGCTTGAGTCCGGCGACGCCTGATGATGACGCCGCTCTCGACTCCTTGGCGGCTGACGACGTCGTGCGCTCCAAGACGCCGCTGCCCCTCGCAGCCAACGCTGTCATCCACGATGATGACGAGCATGTTCTTGCCGCGGCAGCCGAGGGTGGTGATCTCGACCTTGAGTGTGTGGCTAAGGTCCGACGGAGGTCGGCGCGGTCGTCTCAGCAGATCGACGCGCGCACGACGAGGTGGGCCCCTCCCTCCCCATGTCTCCTACCCCAGGCCTACACCTGTGTTAGTGCTATCGGATGGAGAGCCAGCAGCTAGCAATGGAGTTCACGCGCACGTGGACACATGCATGCGTTGCAAGTTGCATTCGTAGATTATTGGATCCGAGTATGTCGTGACGACGGTGATCGAGCTAAGGACGAGCGTAGAAGCCTTCCTTGTCGCCTTTGCCCAGGCCGCAGACTAGTCTGAGCGTGGGTGCGCGCATCTTGGGACCCGGCGACGTCGAGGAGTGCCGCCACGTCTGCTCTTGTGAACGGTTGGCGTTACGTTGGCGATGCCATGTAGGCTCGTGGACCTAAATGACATATTTAGATAATTTTAGAATATCATAAATACATTTTGAGAGTTAATAGACCTAGGTGACATCCCGTATAAGTTCAAGCAACTACCATGCATTTAATCGTTTCCTCCTCGTGGAACGACGTCCTCACGCAAATCAACGAGTGAAGGGCGTGTTTGATTCCGCGTATCTGCGCGTTACCATCGAGATAAGCTAAAGAATCCCACCAAACGGACTGCGACCAACGCACGATGGCCGCTTGGAAGCGAACGCGGGCGGGCGTTTTTGCAAAACGCGGCCTCGGAGGAGCGTCGGCTTAAACGCGGTCGCGCGTTCGTGAGTTGCGGAACCAAACATGCCCGAAGAAACGAGAAAAAACGCAAGGAACGACCAGTTTCCATCGCCTCCTCCGCATCCGGTTCGCGAGCCGCCGCCGCTAGCTGTCGCGCTCGCCGCCGCGAAGGCCGCGCCGTCGTCGCGCAAGCCGCCGTGCCGCAGGGAAGTCCGTCCGGGGCTCCTCCACACAGGTCGTGGTCGCCTCCGCTGCGCTCTCCTGCCCAGCCCCGAGCGGACACGCAGCCATCCATGGCGAGATGGAGTCCGGCCGGGGCTCCTCCGCTCAGGTCGCGGTCGCCGCAGCTCACGCCGCTCGCCGTCCCCTTTACCGCGCTCGAGGCTACCTTCTGGCCGAGACCAGGCTCCACGAGGATGAAGCCCGCGAGCTCGAGCGCGGCTCTCTGGCCGAGACCGGGCTCCACGACGATGACGCCCGCAAGCACGCAGATGGCAGATGGCGCTGGTCGTCCGTGCAGGCTCCGAGGGAGCAAATGTGCAGCGGCTCCAGGAGGAAGGCGATGGACTATTAGGAGAGAGAAAGCAAAGAAAAAAAGAGCATTTATTAGGGGAAGAAACATACAAGGGATCAGATGATTTCTTGCTGAGCTGGCTGCTATGGAAGGTGTGCGTAATTTCAACCATTGAGACTGTTCCTACAAGTTACGAGTCATTTAACGAGAAGGTGAGACTTGCGTCACTCGAACAAGGAACAAAGCTTTAACTGTTGTAGTAACGGTAGGGCATTTTGTAAGGCCCGTGGATTTGTCGGCCGTTGACACTTCTTCATTTGTCGGTGGGAGCTGTCGGTTGATGCTTGATGTTGGCGATGTGTGGGCCCTGTTTATCTCGTCGAAAAAATAGGTCGAAATACTGTTCCGGCTGATTTGTTATGAGAAAAAAAAATACTGTTCCGACTAAAAAAACAAGCTGAAATGTACGGATTATAAGAGAAACGAACATGACCTATACGATGGATCTGTCGAACTGTTAACTATTGTGCACTCTTATTTAGGCAATTGACATATAAGAGCAAGGCTAATAATATAGTCGGTCGCTCAATCTTCACTATTAATACATGTCACACTCGTATGTCTCACAGAGTTTCTGGGTTCTTGTGTCCAAACCGGATATAAACTTACAGCCCGTTTCTTCTCTCTTTCCTTTCCTCTCTCCTCCACCTCAACATTTAGTCTGCTTACATCCTCTTATCTCCTCTTCCATTTTTATCCAAGCAACACCAATTAGAATGTTCTTTCTTTATAAAAAAAAGGATGTTCTTTTATTTCAAGGAAGTAGTAGGTGCTAGAAAGGATTAGTTCTCTAGCGGCCATAACTTACAAAGAAGACCTTGCAATAAAAATAAATCCCAAGCTGGTCCACGGCCCACTTCAATGCAGTTGATCTGATCTGTTCGTTCCACTGTTTGTCTTCGATCTTCATCAGGCTCAAAAGATTCATCTCGTGATTTCCAACTAAAGCTTAAACTTATCAATTAGTTATTTTTTTACCTACATTTATTACTCTCATGCAACAAACAAATTTTGCTAAAATTGATGTGATGGAGAGAGAGTGAAAAAACTTGGAATTTGGGATGCATCTCCTAACAAGTAGCCTATTTGCTCGTGAGAGAAGGATTGGTTCTCACGAGATCTGGCCATAAATTAGAATGAAGACCTGACAATAAAAATAGATCCCAAGCGAAACCAGGGTAAACTTCATTGCATGTTGATTAAAGGGGTGATCTAGAGGATTCGTTCTCACTGTTTGCCTTCGATCTTCATCAGGCTACAGTAGAATGAGCATCATCATTCCATCCGGAAATAATAAACATGGTTTGTTTGAATTGGATTTTTATCAACTAGTCAATTATATTGGCTTATATGCGGTTAGAATCTGGAATAGTAGTTTTCTTTCTAACAAAAATTAGTCAAATTATATACAGATTTAGGGCATAAAACTTATCATGTATTTGTATTATAATTGCCTTTTAATACCAAACTTTAATACTCACTCCTATTTAGAGTAGCGTAGTATTTGCTTCGTGACCAGATCCGTAAATCCGTTGTCGCTCTGCTCCCACGAGATCTGGCTAATACAAATTAGAATGAAACATGACTAGCTCCGTTGTTCTTGTTTGAGCAACTGCCAATCCGAAACCAGGATGTAAATGTTATTAGAATGTTGGATTAAAGGGGTGGATCTAGAGGATGCACCGGCAATTGGCTCACCTATCATCATGGGTCATGTATGATTGCTATCAACAAGTGGGTAAGTCATACTCCATCCATCATTCCATCCGGAAATAATAAACATATTTTCATACGTGAATTGGCAATTTTTTATCAACTAGTCAAATTATATTGGCTATATGCGGTCGTAGATCCTGGAACTTTTTATTTTTTTCTAACAAAAAATTAGTCAAATTATATACAGATTTAGGGCATAAAACTTGCATCAGTGTATTTGTATTCTAATTGCCTTTGAAATGATATTTATTTTTAACATTCGACGGTTGAAAATGTGTGACGAAAAGAAGTGGGCAAGCATAGCCCAGTTTATATCAAATGTCTGTCCATTACCAGCCCAAGAACTTCCGAAATTCAATGGCCCAGTTTTTCGCTAGGCTCGACTGGCGACCCATAGTGGCCCCAAGCTTATTAGGCCTAAAATCGACACTTCCGGCCCAAATATAAAGCCCACGGCATTGATTGTCCCGTCGTCGTCCTCGAAGTCGAATCTGAACAGCTGTGTGGCGAGAAACTCCAGTGGACCACCCAAGTATTCCGCGACAGTGCGACACGGAGGAGAATACGCGACTAGCCCCCCCTCTCACCTCCATGACCACGAACGTTGATTCCCGGTAACTGACCGGTCGCCATTTTCCGTCACGAGGTTCTTCCGTTCCAGGGCGGAGAAGAAGGCATCGACGCACCTTCGTTGGTCCAAAGCCTCGACGCCTTCCCAAAAGGCAAAAGCAGAGCAGCTTTCGGATCGTTCCGATTCTCTTGCAGAGCAAGGGACAGGGGGACAGACACATTCGTGGGCGGCCGCTCCTGCCGTCCGGCGACATGCACCGGCCATCATGTCAACCATGCGTTCCACTATTTTCACCACGATCGCCGGCACGGCATCTTCATCGGCAGTGACCCGTCGCAAACTCGCGATCGAACAAGCAGCTCGAGCGATGAGTAAGCAAAGCTTAAGCAGGAAGCACCTAGATGAGCTGGGGCGTGCAACTGGAACGGCTTAGGAGTCCTGTACGAAACGAAAGCTCCCCGTCTCGCATCTTGCGTCACCGCGTGCGTGGGGTCACTTGGGTGGCCCAAAGCAAGGGCAAAATGCCAAAGGCAGGCTGGGGTTCATTCCAAGCTTGCATAGTAAGGTGGCCTTGGACGCTAAGAGCTCGTGTTTCACGGGGAACAGATTCTGAAGCTCCAATCGGCGAAGCAAGGTGGCGAAAAAAACTATACGAAAACTATTGTGCGAAACGCATCCTTGATTCCAGTACGCTGTTTGTAAAGCTGAGGCAACTGCTAGCGCGTCTTGAGTGACGTGTGGAATTCCTACAGCAACAATACTGAAATGCTAAAAAGGCCGTGGGCTCGTCATTAGGAAAAGCCGTCAACTAAAACTAGGGCCATTAAAACATCCCATCCCGTACCCTAAAGCCGATGAACCTCCGAGCGAGCCAGGTGTGCGAGCGTGACGGCTACCTTCCACCGCGCTCCACGGACGAAAGGCATCAGCGTCCCCGAAAAGCAGGGACCGAAACAGAAAAGGGCCGACCCAACCCCCTGACGTGGCCCGGGGACGATAATTGCCGTCCCGATCGAAACAAGCAAGCAGAATCTCCGACGCGATCGCAAAGGCACAAATGCAGCGACCCACCCAACCTAGCGCCACGCAACAGGTGTCATCCAGCGGCACAAAATCCTTCCGGTCCCGATACGAAAACGTGATTATCTTTTCGTTCCTTGAATCCTTGTCTCTTTTTTTTCTTCCCACCCGGCCACGACGTCGTGATCAGGTCGTAGCATGGATGGATGCGTGCCTCGTGTCCGCCATGATTAGGCTGCAGCGGGGGTTGTTTGTTGACTCGCTGCAGCTGCACGGAGCACGGCTCACCCACCAGCACAGCACAGGGAAAGGACGGACTTTTCAGCGACGAACGAGCCGGCAGGAGACACCAAAAACACTATTGTATGCTCAGTGTTTGTTCTGCGTGTAACTGTGTTCATCTGGAAGCACACTTTTATTGAAAAAAAAACTTTATAGAGCTTCTGGGAGACGGCACCAATTGCAAGAAAACATCCGTCCCCGGGGTACTGTATTGTATTGTATTCAAGGTTGCATCGCTGACGCGGCCTCGCCGAACGCGTCAAATCGTTTTGGACAACCATGATCGGTCAAATTAGAAAACATGAAACACGTAACCAAAGGAGCACATCACGATCTAGTCAGAGAGAGAAGGTTGGAAGGATTCGGCTAGTGAAAGGGGCACTGGACTATATTACAATTAATTCATTTCTCGGACGCTTGATAAAAGTTTCTTCAAACATCGGAAAGGCATGAGCTTTTCTTTTCTACTCCGTATTTGGAGAATTTGCTCGGGAAAGAAGAAAGGCGGGGCTGATCTGTCCGACCAGATCAGAAACGCCCCACCAAAAAAAATGCTAACGAAATAATCCTGCTGTACTACTGTATATAAAAGGAAGCAGTATGCAATTCTGCTAAGGATCTCACTGTTCTGTTCGATCTTTGCTTTGACATTTCGTTCAATGATTGCTCGGCCGAAGCGAATGTGACCTGGGCTCCCATTTGAATTTCCGGACGGCCAGGAAATCAATCAGCCAAGAACGGCTAGTCCGTTGGATCCGCCGATCACGATCTCGGGCGCCGCCTGAGGTTGACGACGACGACGCTGACGTTGTCCGCGCTCTGCCGCGCCAGCGCTAGCTTGGTCAGCAGGATGGCCGCCTCGGCGCACGCCCTGTCCTCGCCGCTCTCAACGTCGTCGCTCTCGGACCCCGCGCCGTATCTGGGCCCGGCCTCCTCGTCCCCGCTGCTGCTGCCGCTGCTCTGCCTGGGGCTCAGGTTGGAGGTCGGGCTCGACCGCTCCCCGCCGTGCGGGTGCGGCGCTCTGTTCCGGAGGCAGGTGCGCACGACCTTGCACGCCACCTCGTTGCTCACCACGTCCCACAGCCCGTCGCTGGCCAGGATCAGGAACTCGTCCTCGCCGTCCTTCCTCTCCACCACCCGCACCTCCGGGTCGGAGATCACGAACGGCTTCAGGTAGCTGTCACCAATGGCGCGGGACATGGCGAGCATGCCGAAGACGCGGGCGCCGTCCCAGAAGATGACGCGCCCTCCCGCTGCGTGGATCCGTTCCAGCTCGTCGGCGCGGTCAGGCTGCAACGAATCATCACCCATACGAATTTGATTAGAAAACGCAGGTAGCAATAGCTCCTCTCTCTACGAGACCGAGCCTGAAACATTTTTTTTTCTGTTCGCAGTACCTTGTGGTCATCTGAGAGAGGGATCGCGGCGCCTCCGCTGAAGAGGACCGCGCGGGAGTCGCCGCAGTTGGCGACGACGAGGTGGCGTGGCCCCACCACGGCGACGACGGCCGTGGAGCCCACGTGGTCGCACTTGGGAAGCTGCATCTCGCAGCGGCAGGTGGGCGCCGGGCCGGCGGTCTCCCTGGAGCCGACGGCCTCGGCGTCCATCCTCGAGTAGCTCTTCTCCATGACATCCCTCCACCGCGCCGGCTCGTCCGAAACCGAGGAGCCTGCGGCAGCGGTCGCCTCCTCGGCCACGATCTGGTGCATCCGCTGCCCGCACGACGTCGCCACCTGCATGCACATGCAGCCAATCGGTAAACACTCGGTGAATCGAAAAAAAAAACAACTGCTCGGGCCATCACAGTTCAGTCCAGTTCAGATGCCAAGAACTGAACTGTTTGAAGAAGAATTGGCGGGCACTTACATGTGAGCAGCCGTGGCCGTCGAACACCCCGAAGAAGTGGTGGCCGTTGATGAACTCAAGGCGGGCGGTCACCGCGTCCTCCATGTCCCTCCGCCGCCCGCAGACCGACGTCACGCCGTACCTCGGCGCCGGTGCCCTAACCGCGTCTTCCTCATCCACCTCCAGCCTCCGCCTCTTCGCTGACGCCTCCTCGGCCACCACCCTGAGCCGCCGGATCTCCCTCCTCCGCCGCCGCGCCGCGCGGCTGCCGGCGTCCCCGCCGACGCACTCCCCCTTCCGGTCCGCCGACCCCGCCGCCGCCACCTCACAGCAGATCTCGGCCATGAAACGAAGAACCGATGCCACCAAAGCTAGCTCTCCTGAAATCAAGTACGCGTTGCGCAGGCAAAGGTGGGGGCTCAAGGAAGAAGAAATGGCGCCGCGGCAGATGCTGCTTCTCTCGTTTTTTCCTTTCGCTAGTGGGATTTTGAGGCTTGAGAGCGAGAGGGGTTATAAAAGGCAGGGAGGCCAGGCCGGCCCCCGTACTCCCGTGGCCGGTACGTGCCCCCGGGACGCGTGTCGACGCGTGGGCGCGTCCACCAGGCGCAAGCGAGCTGGGGGCCGGCCCGCCGCGGTGTTTGGTGTTCGCCGCGGGCGTTGTGGCTCACTCGAGGGTGGGGTGGGGTGGGCGTGGCACGTTGGTTCTGTGGGGATGGGGAGGCGGGCGGCCCGGTCTACGTGGTTGACGCATCCTTCCGTGGAGGGATAAGCGTGAGGTCGCAGGGGAGGCACGGGCGGTAGACACGTGGAGGCGGAGCGGCAAGGGTGGTGTACGGGCTACAGCTCCCTTCTCCGGCTCCACCTCTCGTTGTCGTCCTTCCTGCTTACTGTACCAGCTCGTGTCTGTTAATTTTGGCATGTACGTAAGGGCGCGTTTGGTTTGTTGGCGAGCGCAGCCTGGCTCGCACGCCGCATGCAGGCCCGCTTCGGCCAGGCTACGGTGATACAGGTGCTGTTTGTTCGGATGCCTGGTTGAGCAGAGCCTGGCGACATGCAGCGTTTGTTTGGTTAGCTGTTTGTGCACACCTGGATAGACTCGTTCTCTCTGGATTGAACCACGAGACGCGCGCTCAGGAGCCCGCGCGTGTCAGGCTGAGGAGAAAGGGAAGGCCCTGTTCGCTGGAACTACGTCTCAGCCGGACCAGTTTATTTTAGCTTATTCTCCCTCGTATAATACTATTGAATGAGCTAAAAACAACCTGCTTATGTACCAATCGAACAGGGCGGAGCGTTTCCCCGGAGCCAGGCCCGGCGGCACTTCTTGCATGCGGCCAGCCAGGCTCCGACGCTCCTCCGGCCAACCAAACGCTCCGACTCTACACCCCGCGATGCATGTTCGTTCGGAACCAACGAACCAAACGCGCCCTAAATGAATCCGCGCCGTGCGCTGTATACACCGGGTTTTATTTTCAAGGTGTTATCTTGCTTTAGTTTTGGCAGCAGGTTATTGCTTTATTATGTCTCTGTAGCTGTAAATTGGCAGCTTGATTGCTGTACAGCTCTCTCTTTATGCTATTTTTAGTGGGTGACAGAAACTGGCAATTGAATACAGTCATGCGTCTCAAGCACTCGGTACTAACAACCTGTTGGGGCGTCCAAATGTGGGCAGCTCGCTCGTCTTTGGACATGCCATGTAAAACTTGCTACCCTCTTAATGAAATACATGTGATGTGCATGTTCGCGAAAAAAGTACTATATATTCTACTAAACGCCATCATCTCTGCATGCGAATCATACGTGAATAATGTGATTTTGTGAAATGACATCAGCCGTGGCTCCAAACAAGTCCTTGTCCGATGACAGTGCCAGAATGCCATGTGTGCTAAAATCCGAATACGTACTTTAAACGCACACTAGCGCCCACAAGAAATAAGGCACTTAGTCGTAATCACGCGACGGGATACGTGTCAAGCCTTGATATTTGCTTGCTGTACCTGTACCGGAGAGCTAGATTTTTTTTAGATAACGATAGGGTCCTACATAGTGGGTGGACATGAAACAGGTACCACTGGAATCCAGATAGTTGTTAGTCAGAAATCTACAATCTTCCTAGATACGAATACAGATTTAAAAAAATTTCAAATACGAATACAAAATGGACAGTCTTATTTAAATTCAGATTATGATAACTGCCCCATTTAGTATCAAGCATCTATCTTCCTATCGATAGTTTTGGAAGCAAATATTGGTCATGTTTTTCAGCAGTACTTTTCAGCGCAAAGGAACTCACAACAAATCAACATCAACGGCAGCCAAATTTCGGTGAAACGAACAGGACCATTATTTTTCAATTAGATATTAAAGTATGTGTTTGTAACAATGACGACAAAGATAGCTCATAAAAATAACACGTTTATCAAATAATCATTTTAATAATTTAATATATAAAATAAATAATAAAATAATCATTTCGATTGCATATAGAAATATTACCAGTAAATAAATAATTTAATGTATATAAAATGCATAAAATATAAATTTATAACAACAAATATAAAATAAATAAAAATAGTACTAAAATCAAACTTAATATTTATATAGGAGTACCATACCTAATACCTTCCATCACAAAAGAATAGTGAGATTTTTATTATTTTTGCGATTGAGGGAGTATTAAAGACAAAAGTGATTATTCCAATCATTTTTTACTTCCCACCATAACCTCATGTCCTCCTTATCCATGTGATTCGGACTTAACACACGTAGTCATACGAGTTACAATAGTGTGCGTCTAATGAAGATGCAGAAGTTCAATTCCAATACATATTGGAATAGATAATACGATCGTTTAATAAATCTCCAAGCTGCAAATCGTTCCTGTGATCGCGTAATAAGATGTACATTATCTTACAATGTAAGAGCATGTTTGCCGGTTAGATTTTTAATACCATTAGTGGTTAGGTATGCATATAGATACTTTTAATGTACATCATTACGTAATGTTAAAATTAAATATGATTAGCTATAAGAAATAACTTGTAAATTGTTTCACCAGGTATTTTGTTCCTCACGGCGGATAGGCGAAAATAACGAGAAGTTGACTCAGATGCATTCATTTTACTATCAATATAGAACCATATACAAATAAAAATATCTTATATCTATATCCATCTTAGATTAGATACACATTACAACAAAATAGATAACATTTTGACGCCTCGTCTCTTCAAGTACAAGTTATAGCATCTGACCTTACGCACGGACACACACCTCACGCACGCGTGCGAGGCAACGGGAAATTAATGAGAAGTTGACTCGGATACATTCATTTTACTATCGGTATTTTGTTCCTCACGGCGGATAGGAGAAAATAATGAGAAGTTGACTCAGATACATTCATTTTACTATCAATATAGAACCATATACAAATAAAAATATTTTATTGTTAGATTGATCTCTAATCTCAAACTGGGCCCAATGGCCCAGTTGAGCCTTTGATCCGCGTCTGATCGGGGGCGCCCAGCCCACTATGGCTGGAGGGCCCCTGTCACACTGCGCAATAAATAGATGTGGGGACCGGTGGCTCTGAGTACGAGGTTCGCCTGAGCCGATCTCCCACCGACAAACCCTAACCCGATCTAGTGAGGGGCGCAGCCAGTGACGGGAAGCACCTCCACCACTGCACTGCGCCGCCATCGGTCTTCACCGCCGGTCGCCACCGCCCATCACCGTCACTGTCTTCACCGACCGTCAGCCGCCTCCTGCTGAAGACACCGACACAACAAATGTTTTTCACCATGGCCGGCTTGCTGGATCGAAGCCCTACGATGGTCGGTAACCTAGCACTACTCCTCTCTCTAATCTCTATCTAGTAGACGTACTAGGACATATTATCCATTTACAAGAGAACTCGCTAGATTTATGCCTAGAGATCCGCTACTTTAGGTCTAACAATGGTACCAGAGCCTAACTAGGTGTAGATCTAACCTATTGAAACCCTCTGTCTAGATGTAGATCATGTCGGGGGAAAGAAAGAGATTATATCCGTCCGGATCTAGGAAGAGAAGGGGGTCACCGAACCCTAACCCTAATTGGGTGAAAAACAGATAAAAGAAAGGGGTCTCAGCACGCGAAGGCGAACCCTAACCCGTAAATCAAACTCAGGGAAGAAGAATAGTGAACGAAACCCTAAACCTAACCAAACCCTAATCTCGATCCTAACCCCATCCCCAACCCTAAAATCGGCAAGATCCGAGAAGAGAAGAAAGGAAAAATCAAAGAAAAGAAAAGGGGAAGGGGAAGAGGCCTACCTCGTCGCCACACTGTGCTATCGCCGTGCGGCTGCTGGTGGTGGGTGGGAGGGACAAAAAGGCGCGTTGTGCCAGGCCTTCTGACGGCGCGCTTGGCCCATTGGGAGCGCTTGACGTCGGCAAGAGGGCCGGCGACAGCGCCATCATCGTCTCCATGCCGTCGTGGGACCGAGACAGAGGAGGAGGAGAAGTGGCCGGGTAAGATCTAGGGTTTTGGAGGGATCGAGGCACGCCGCCGCCAGACCCGCTCGACAATGGCGTGCTCACCCGCTTAGGGGAGCGCGCCTGTGGCGAGGGACGGCGGCGACGGTGCCATCTTCGCGCTTGCTTTCACGGTGCTTTCGGTCAACTACTGAGGAGAGAACGGAGCGAGGCAAAGAGAGAGAGAGAGCAGCAGAGAATGGATTAGGGTTTCCCTGGGGGCGCCGCGGCGTGGGTTTTTTTTCGAGCAAAACGCGCGCGTGGCCATTGGATTAAGATGGACGGTGCAGATCGATCGGGCCAACGATCGGCCCAGGCGGGCGCGCGCGGCCGCGCAGCTTTGGCGCCTAGGCCAGGTTGCGGCTTGGGAGGCACAGCGCTCGCAAGCAGAGTGGGCCGAGTCGTTTTGCCGGCTGGGCTGAAGAACAGTGTTCATTTTGAATCAATTTTTTGTTTTTCTTTTTCCAGTAAATATTTATTTCCTGGAAAATGGATAAATGGTTTAAAGTAAATAAAAAAGAGAATTTTTCTGTAGGTAAAATTCATTAAATTGAATTATTTTTCCACTGCGTATTTAAAGTTGTTATTTTCATTATTAAATTTGAACCAACGGGAAAATTTAATTTTAAAAAATGGATATGTTTTTAGTTTATTATAATATTGTTATTATTCTGACCAACGTTGATTAATGACAATATTATGATGTTATTTATGAGTTTTGTCATGTATTAATTCTATTTCTGTCCAACGGTGATGTAGAATTAGTGTAGATAATAATTGTATGTTTTAATTTTGATCAACGTTGAAATCAAGGCATGCAATTGTTATTATTAT